CCTGAGGCCAGCCCTGGGGGCCGGTAACAGGAAAGCTACTATGCCCAGGTACAGCAGCCCTTCATGTCATGGCCTCAGCAGATCAAAGCCTTGTCCTGCCCAGCAAAGTCTCTGGGAAAGGAGGCCAGCCTGGAGATAAGATCGACCAGGCCAGGGGCTCCAGAGCTCGGCTTTCAGCCCTCAATGTGTCCTGAGACAAAAAAAAGAGGAGTTGGTGTCTGGCCTCCAGCTGTCCCCATGGAAACTGGCTGAAGAAACCCCAGTGGGCAGCCATGTGGATGGTGGATCCCCCATGTAACTACAAGAGGGCCAGGATGCTGAGGGGACTTAGCTTGAACCTGGGTCCTCCCGCCCTAGGCCAAAGCAGAGGGAACAGGGAAGGAGCAACAGGGTCTCCATACTCACTCCACTGCACACACATACACATGTGCACATATCTAGACCTGCATAAACACAGACTCATCTGCACACAGTATGCACCCATGTATATGGGCTGCTATACCCGTGCATGCAGGCCCAGGGCACCTTGCAGATGGCAGTCATAGGTACATATGCACACAGTGTGGTTTTTGCACTCAGCACTGTTAAGTGCTAAGTTCATATGTGCACATGTGTGCATATTCGTGGGCTCTGTGGTGGTTGGTGTCCCCAGATGCTGTGGAATGACACAGAGCCATGCTGGGAGTGGGGGAACCTTCAGTCACATTGGGGCCTCCCTGGGCTGCTAGGCTGGGCACATGTTCCTGCCAGATCCCTGGCTGCCATCATCCACCTCTTCCCAGGGGATTTTCAGGGGCCAGAGTGAACAGAGAGCATAAGAAGTGTGGGGTGGGAGCTCCAGCAGGACAAGACTCAGTGTGGGGATGTGGAGGCTCCAGATGAGCAGGGAGCAGGACCCCAAGCCATGTACTTGCAGGCTCAATATAAGATATTGCCCAGAGCCGCCCTCTCCTGCTCCGGTGTATCCAGGACTCTGGCTCTGCCCTGCCCTGGATTCTACAACCATCTGCATGCCCAAGAGAGGGTCTAGGCTGCCCCAGGCCTTGGTGCCCTCTGGAAGCCTGCAAGGGCTAACTTGGATGTAGGTGGGATAAACCCCCCAACCCCCAGCCTCTATGCTCCTCTGCTGGGCCAGGCTATAGCAGCCCAGGCCTGCCCGGCAGGCAAGGGCTGCTGGCTGGCGCTCCTCTCATTTCCTCTTGGCCTGCAGGCCCGGCTGCCTCGGGAACAAAGGGTGGATTGTGCCTCCTTCAGGGCCTAGTCGCTGGCTGAGCCTAGGACACTCCTGAGCTGGCCGCTGCCCCTGCTGGGCCTGTGGGCGATGGCTGTACTTCCAGCCAAGCCAGGCTCTCCTGGACAACTCTCCTAGGCCTCAGAGCTGGCAACACCAGCTCTAGGCTCCTTCCAAGCGCCTCTGCAACCAGGAGCCATGGCCTGACTGCCCAGCGCCTGGCTCTGTGTGCAGCTCAAGTATGCAAGTCTGGCCCCCAACAGCTCAAGACCCTCCGTGTTCCATGACCCCACCCCACCACCCATCCATCCTGCTGCCTCCTTGTTCCTAGGCCTCACTGGCCTGGGGATTTGGACCCCCCATCCCTGGTGTTGGCTTTAGGAATCCAAAAGGAGCCAGAGTGGGGCCAGTCTGCTTCCTGGGGGACAGCATGGTCACAGCACCACAGGACTGTCCACTGACGTAGTCCGTGTGTGCCACTGTGTGCAGGCTGCACAGACCACATGGGCAGATAGCCAAAGTCCAATAGCACCTCCCCCAGGGCCTACAGACCCCCAACAGGCGCCTTCACTAGGAAGGGCGGGCTCCAATGCCAGTGAGGGTCTCCTATGGGACCCATCCATGCACAGCCCCCTACCCGCCCCAGCCCCTCAGGCCCCGAGAGGACACCTAGCTGCCCAGTGCCAGGCCCCGGCCTCCACCATGCCCTCACTGGCTATGGCTTTGGCTCCCACCACTGCAGTCAAAGGGGCTTTGTGGAGCAGAGCTGCCGGTGCGAAGCGCTTGGAAGACCTCCAGGAAGGAGCTGTGGAGGACGCATTTGGAAGAGGAAAGAAAAACAGAGGAAAGAGCTGAGCACAGAGAAGGCATTCGCCTCTACAGAGCCTGGCGCCACTGGCATCATCCCCTCCCAGGCTGGGCTCCAGCATCTATTGCAGAGGACCTGGGAGCTGCCCCAGGCACAGGCCAAGCCAAGCAGGAGATCAGTGTGGTCTCTCTGAGCCCTTGCCATGACAGGGTCCTCAGCACCCACATGTTGAGCCTTCCCATGTCCTCCCTAGGAAGACAGGACAACAGGTTGCAGCACCAGGGTGGCCCCGTTCAGAGAGACAGCCCCAGCCTGTGTCCTCAGAGCTGCTGGTCCAAGTGTCCCCGTGGGGAAAGGGCTGAGGGCTCTTCAGATGGCTCAGAGAGGATACCAGGGCAGGGCTCAGCGGTCCCTGGGTCCCAGCCCTGTGGTCAGCCAACACGGACCTGGTCCCACCTCCTTACCACCTCGCCCAGGAGTACAAGGCTTTCCAAGAAGGTCACAAAATGCCACTTTGGGGGCTGGACCCCAGCTCTGCCAGTTCTGTGTCTGCTCTCTGTGGCCACACTGCCTTCTCTCCCACGTGACCCAGACCCTGGGCAGACAGACAGTGCTCTCCCAATGTCTGGACGAGGGTGGCACCCAGGGCACAGGGGCAACCTGTCCTGCTGAAGGCAGTGACTCAAGCTGAGAGGCCCAGCTAGGAGGGTGCCCAGAGCCACCTGTGACCCCAGTGGTCAGTGCCACCCTCCTTCCTGGGGTGCTGTAGATCTAGGCAGAGGAAGAATGACCACAGCAGTGTTGTTGTGCCCTGTGCAGCCTTCCACCATGCATGGGGGTAGGGGTGTGACAGCCAAGGGCAGCTCATCATCCCCGACACTAGCGCGACACAGGGTTGTGTCCTCAGCCAGTGACCTTTTGCAAGCCTGGCTCTCCACTGGGCAGCCACCCCCAGCAAGGGTGTGCACAGAGGAGCCTGGCTGGGAAATGCCTGACCGCACTGCAGCTCTAGCCCACAGAGCAGGGGGCACTCTTGCCTCTGAGCACTGAGGCCCAGCTTGAGCAGAGACAGCAACCTGAGTCAGGGCACCAGGGACATCTGGTCACCAGGCAGCCAGCACTGCCCTGGAAGGGTTGGGTGGTCAGTGCCTTTCTGTGGCCATGGCTTAGGCCAGATCCTAGGAGCAGGTGCCCACGTCTCACCTCTTGTTTAAGAAATAAAAGTGACTGCTGGACCTGACCACTATCACATTCCCACTGAGTGTGGGGACAGGGAGGCCTCACTGTCCTGGCAAGGGCCCCACCTTGATGGCCAAGTCCTCTGCCTCCCCACCCACTCTGCCAGGGCCACACCCTGGGCCTAGCAAGGTCACCCAGCCACTCATTGTTGGTGTCTGCCCAGCCTGGTGTTGGACCTGTGTCCTGGAGCCGAGCCTCAGTAGGTGCTCCCAGGCCACGTCCTGGGTCTTCACATCTGTCTTGGGACCGGGGCATGGCTCTCATCTCCAGCCAGGGCCTCTGACCCACAGGCCAGGCAGGACTGCCCTGTTCCCCTCTGCGTTGTCCACCCTCACTGCCGCCCCATCTGAGACAGACAGCTGCATGCAACTCAGGATAACCTTTGAAGCCAGAGGGTGGAGAAGCGGTCACACCCGAGGGTGTCAGAGCCCAGCTGCCCTTTCAAGTTTACCGGCCCTCACAAGTGACCGGCTTATCACTGCCAAGGACACTGGTGGGAGGAGCAGAGGGAAGAGCAGACTGGCACCTTGCCCAGCCTCACCTAGTACCCCATGAGAATCCTCACTCAGGACTGTGTCCCCCCTAGAGTGGACATCAGAAGCCCCTGGGGTCACCCTGAGGATGCCTCTAGGCTCTAGGTGGGACCCCCCAGGGCAAGGGGCACTGGGGACCCAGGCCTGTGTTCTCCTTCATCCCTGCAGCCTGATGGCTGCTTGCTGACCTTCCTGGAGGCCCAAGGGCACTGGGGCCTGATTGTCCAGCTGAAGGGTGGTGGGGTGGGCTCCCTCTCCCACCAGCCCTTGTCCTGCCAGGAAACTGCCCAGGCCCCCAGCGCCCTGTACCAATCCTTCCAGGAAAGGCCAGTGAGACCTGACAAGTGTGTTTCTGGCTGGCACTCAGCACAGGCAGTGTGCTTAGGAGCCAGCCTCCCATTCACCAAGTTCCTGGACCCCAGAAGTGCCCAATCTGGTCCCAGAGAACCCAGGCCCAGGGTTCTGTTCTGCCACTGTCTCTCCCAGACCTGGCAGGGACCAGGGCACTTCATGTCCCTATGAGTGGCTCTGGCCTCAGGCCAGAAGGGTGCAGGCTCAGGGTCTCAGCCAGCTCCTTCTAAGCTCCAGGACAGCATCTCAGCTCCTGTACCTCCACAAGGCCTGGTGTCCCCCACTGCCCCAAGTTTCTTACCACCCGAGTCTCCCCACTGTCATGGATCTCCTGCCAGACTTCTCCAGGAGCTCCTCTTTACACACACACACACACACAACCAGGCTGTCCCATCTGTGAACATCTGTCGTCCCCAGCTGTGGGTCACTTGGAACACCACAGTGCCCATGGTCACTCCCTGGGTTCTTCTAGCTAGCCAGAAAACGCCCATCACCAGAGGCAGGACCACACTGCACAGCATGCTCAGGCCAGGCCCTGAGTCCTCAGGGCACAGTCCATGTTGTGTGGGTGCCCAAGGTAGGGGCACCCTAGAAGACTCCACACCAAAGCCACACAAGGTGGAGCCAGGACAGCAGAATCCTAATGGCTACAGGAGGCCTGGTCAGCCTGCCCAAACTCTGTACCATGCCAGCCACAGCCATGCCCACTGAACTCATCCTCCTGGGGGTACCAGGCCTCAGGCCCCAAGACTCACATACAAGCACAGAAGTGCACATAGCCACAACACCCAGCACACATTTGCATGTGGCAGGCACCACATGGACCAGTCAGAAACTGTCAAGGAAAAGGATGCACACTTTTAACAAAATAAATTAAATATACAAGGCTTCAGCTCAAACCCTATATAAAATCACAGAGACCAGGGTCACGGGGGGAGGGGTGATGGGTAGCTGCCTGCAAGGGGTGTGGACTCCAGCATGGCTGGGTGGCCAGCCATACTAGAGGCCAGACAGGCCAGCCCCCAGAACCCCAGCCCTGCTCCTGTCATCAATATTACCTCCATTCTTAAATATAAATATCAAGGCCCTGGTTTGGCAGTGGGAAGGCAAGGGGTGGATCCACACCTCCTCACCTGGGTGGCTGGGGCCCTGGACACCCGGCAGGTGGCAGCTGGGTGGGACATGGGCAACAGGTGGCAGGGTCCTTCATCTACTAGCATGGCTACATCACCGCAAGTCGAAGACCCAGGCCTTCCCGAGGGCATCTCTGTCCACTTGTGTACAACATGTCTGTGTGTGTCAGTCCATGTCTAGTGGTCTGTGTATTGGCCCGGTCAGCATGCGAGTCACACAGAGTGCTGGCTGCTGCCACCTGCCATCTTCCTGGCCTGTCCCTGGGCCCACTTTGTCTAGCACTGGTAGTGGACGTGCTGGTGCTGGTGCACCTTGCCCTCCACATGAGAGTGTGTGTGAGAGTGTGTATGCGTGTGAATATCTGTGTACAGCTTGGGGTAAAGCTTGGGGCCGGCTACCAAGCTGGAGCCTAGCCCGTGCTCCTCACACAGCCCCACGGCCAGTGCAGGCAGGTCCTTGTCACCGCAGCGGTCCCGGGACAGGGTTGGTGGACGGTGGCTGGGCACAGGTGGTGCAGATGCAGGGGCACAAGGCTTCTTCTTGGCCTGGCAGAGCCACAGTAGCACAGTGCCCAGGATGAAGACAGCACCGGCTGGGATGCCAATGACCACAGGCCAGGGCAAGCTGGTGGTAGAGGACGAGGGAGCCACAGGGGGCCCTGGTGGTTTGGGGTCTGGAAGAGAGATGGAGATAAGGGGTGGAGAGGGGAATGCCACCAAGAAAGGGCACTAGCCCACATGTGGATGGCACGATGGCATTGGGCTCCCTCTGCAAAGGGGCGCCCAAGGGCTTCCAGGAGCCCAGCCACACACCTGGCAGCACAGTGAGGAAGGCACTGCGGAAGCTGTAGCCCATGGTGTTGGCGCCCAGGCAGATGTACATGCCCGCGTCATCCTGGCGGGCATGCGAGATGAGCAGCTTGTTGAGGTAGGAGCCATCAGGTCGCGACCACACGTCCCCCGTGGGCAGCACCACAAACTTCTGGCCCCCCACATCAATGGTGGAGTTGTGGCGGCCCTCGGCACCATACTCTACCCGCTTCAGCCACTGGATCACGGGCTTCACATCACTGCGCACCTTGCACTGGAAGGATGTCGTGCCCCCAAAGTCCACCGTTGTGTTCACGGGATGTGTGCCAGTGAGCACAGGCTTGGAGCGCGTCCGCTCTGCAGCAGGGAAGTGTGTGTCGCTGGCAGCATCCACCCCAGCCCCGGGTCCCCTCTGCCCACCCGCCCTGGCACTCACGGATCACATCCACTTTGTAGGTGGCATTGATAGCGCCCACCCGGTTCGACACACGGCACGTGTACTTGCCGCTGTCCTCAGGCCTCAGGTTTTTCAGGCTCAGGGTCCACTTCTTCCTGTGTTCACCAGCCTCTAGCCGCGTCAAGGCCTGGTCATCCTTCATCCATGTGATATCGGGCCGGGGGTGCCCGCTGGCCACACACTTGAGTCGTACGGAACTGCCCACGGGTCGCGCTATCACCCGGCGCCGCATCTTGGATGGCTGCGTGAAGCGGGGCCGAGCTGCAGGGGGATTGAGTCAGCTGGGAGTGTGTAGGGGTGCCAGGAAACAGTCACCATCCTCTACTAGGGGATGGGGTCCCCCACCCAATGCTTACCCCATTGTTGGCCAGCTGGGTCCTCCTTGTCCCCAGAGGAGCTGCCGGGCCCTGGGACCTGCTTCCCGGGGCTGATGTCATCTACAGGGAGTGTGGAATCCATGGTGAGATGGACCCAGGCTTCTCGAGACCCCCATGTGGCCCCGGCTGGGGTGGCCCTAGAACTCCAGAGGCCACTGACACTCCCATGGGCACTCAGAGTGCAGGGACAGCTGGGAAGGGCTGCCTGCCAACCCATCCCCAAGTGCAGGTGACCCCGACAGTCATGGAAGGGACTACAGTGCCGGCCCCCCTACCCAGGCTCCAGGGGGTCTGCGGGGCAGGGAAGAGGAGGGGGCCGGTGGCTGGCAGCTGCAGTAACCCTAGCCCACATCAAGGGGCCGAGGGCTCAGGAGGCAGACATGGCTTGCATACCGCCCAGTCATCATCCCTCTACATGGACTGTGGGGTGGGGGCGCCCTCAGTATTCCCATTCCTCAGCCCAGCACAGGCAGGGCTGGGGGAGGATGTGGTAAGGAATGTCCCCTCCTACCCGGACAGCACCACCTCCACTGAGCTGGGGCCAAGGGCTGAGCCCTTGAGCCGATGCCCTCCTTGGACCTCGAAGCCGAGCTGTCAGCCCAGACCCACACCAGGGAGCTGAGAAGCGCAGGGCGTGCCCAGTACCACAGGGGAGGGTGTGTCAATGGGGCCACCTGTTCGCTCCCAGGGACATGGCCCCTGGGCGGGAGAGAACAGAGGCCACTGCCTCCTGCGGCCCCTCTGAACTGCGAAACCTGAGCCCAATGTTGCAGGACACCAGGGTGCCCCCTGCCAAGTCCCTGACAGCCTGTGTCCTTGGGGGTCCACCACCCAGCCGCCATCCCTAGTCCTGCCCAAAAAGAGCTGGCCACCAGGAGGCCAGGCAGAGGGAGAGGACAGGCCCCCACCCCCCACCCCCGCCCTGCCACACCCACTGACCACACCCCACTGACCCATCACGATAAGGGTGTAGTTGACACTGAGGCTGCCAAAGCCATTGGTGGCCTTGCACACGTATACGCCTGCGTCCTCCGCCTCTACTGCCTTCACCTTCAGCCCCTGCGGCAGCACACGGAAGCGGCTCCAGCCACCGTGGATGGTGCGGCCGTCCTTGGTCCACATGGTCAGGGGCGGTGGGTCTCCCTCCACTGGGCACTGAAGCCGCACAGTACGACCAAGCCGAGCCACCTGCCGTGGGGCCACTTTGTCTGCCATTCTTGGGGGGCCTGTAGGGTGGGAAGGCTCAGGTGGGAAGCAAGGCCTGGGCTGCTCCTGCCCAACCCCACTGGGACTCCACTTGGGACACCTGCCCAGTGAAATGGGGGTGGAGCCAAACAGCCCACACCCAGCCTCCAGCTCCCCGAGCAGGACCTGGGTGGGGGGTGGGGGTCCCAGAGAGGTGAGGACATAGCCTGACTCTGCCCCTGCTGCACTGTGAACTGAGAAAACAGGGCAGCAGGTGTGGCAACACATGCCTATATCTCAACCCTTGGAAAGCTGAAGCAGGAAGGTCACCATGAGTTGAGGCCACCTGGGCTACACAGTGGGACCTTATAGCAAAAATCAACCAATCAAGCTTAGGGATTTAATGAGACATCGTTTCAAAATGATAAATAAAGGTAGGGACCTAGCTCAGTGCAAAGGTGCTGGGCTCAATCTGCAGTACTGCAAAATAAAAACAGAAAAAAGCAGGAACATTCCAGCCATTTCAGAAGGGGCCACAAGCCCAGAGGTCAAAGAGGATGGGGACCCCTGCTGTCTCTCATCATGCCTAGTCGCAGGTCCTGTCACCAGCTGGAGACCCCACCTCTGCACCACTCCCACCATCACCAAGCCTCAGGGACCAGCCAACTGCCCGCCCCCCCATCGCACACAGATGACCAAGCAGCGGGACAGCGCCCTGGACAGCCTGTAGGCAGTGAGGATGCCTTGTATGACCTGTGTCTGAGCCCAGACACCATCTTCCCAGGGCAGCAGATAAACCCCAAGAGGCACAACTCAAGGTCCTGGGGTTAAAGGCAGTGTGTGGACTGGGCAGGGTTGGCATGGAGAGGTGGGCTTGTCCTGGGCTGCCCACTCTGCAGACTCTGGCTCCTCGCACCCCGCCACCCCCAACAGGGGTGCCCCTGAGGGGACACAGGGACAGAGGTGACTCAGATACCAGGAAGCAAGTGATGTGACTGGCTGAGAAAAAGATCCAGACACAGATCCTCGGGTATCAGCAATTCATGGGGCCCTGGGCAGGAGGTGACCTCGGGAGGGAGGCTGGGCTGGGGCTGGGAACAAGGTGGGTGACTCCACACACCCTGCCACCCCAGGTGGTGCATCCCAGGCAAGGCACCCAGGCTTCCGTGCACAGAGGTGCAGGCATGCTCCCTAATCAGCCAGTGGCCAGTGGCATCCCTAATCTCAGTGGTGGCTTCCTCCTAACCTCACAGTGCTCACTCTGAGAGGGGATCCTATATGGATCGGGGAGCTGTCAGCTGGGGGGGGGGGTTCATCATAGCAGTGCTGCTGGGGAACTAGGCTCAGGAGCTGGGAGAGGGGTTCCTCTACCTCCCTTTCTATTTGCCTCCCCCCACCATGGGCCCCGAGCCACAGTTCCCATAATAGCCCTCTCCCCCTGCTCTTCCTCTCCCATGGTCCACCCAGGCTCCTGGCAGCAGGGCAGTCCATATGCAGTTGCCTCTGGCCCCCAGCACCCACCCAGCACACACCCAGCCCCCCAACCCTCTGGGGTCCTGGCCTCAACCCAGGCAGACCCTGCCTACCACCTGTCACTGTCTGAAATTCCACCACTCACAGGGCCTCTGGACTACAGGACCAGCGGGCATCCAGCCCTGCCCTGGCCCCCACTTCCTCGCACCTGCCTGGTGCCCAGATCACCTGGGCAAACCCCAGACTCATACAGGATCACATATATGTGCACTGCATGGGTACATACCACTACTGACAGTGACCTGATCTGCAGCATCCTAGCACAAGACTGACCCAGACCCCTTCCCAGCCCAGGCAGAAGACAGAGATGCCTGGAGAGGGGCAGGGCTACGACAGAGCAGCAGGGACTCCACCAGAAGCATGGCCTCAGCCAGCATGACACAGGGACAGGTTGTCGGGAGCCCATCTAGAGAAGCTAAGCTTATCCTAAAGCAGACAGCACCTCCCAGCCTCCCCTCTGCACCCCAGCCCTCCGCAGAGCTCTGTACGAGGGCCACCCAGCAGAAAGCCAGCTCCGATTCCTGGGGCTCTTGGCTGCAGCCTGGCCAGCACAGCTCTATATTTAGCCCAGGAAACATAAGACCCCATTGTTCTACCTAGAGCCACAGAGCCCACTGGGCCAGTGAGGAAACTGAGGCAGGACCTGAGGTCCAGAGGCACCAACCACTCTACTATCCTGGGGGGAAACTCTGCATGCAGGCAGCAGCCCCACCACCTTCCTCAGGCAATGCTGCCGTCACCCTCCTCCAGCCTGAGTCCCTCCAGCGAGCCCCTAGGAGGCCCAGCACAGGCAGGATGCTGGTGGCTGTGGGCAGGCAGTCAGACTCGGGGTGAAATGAGGCTACGAGGTGTTCTCACTCTTCTGATGGGAGCCCTGGGGACAGTACCTCAGGGTACCTTCCCTCTCCAGTTTCCCAGGGGACCTAGCTCGAGAATAGTGTTGGAGGATGTAGGTGGATTACAGCCCACCTAGAGGGCACACCTCATGGCTAGGGCCCAGGAAACCTGAACCCCCTTTCCAGAGCTAGCCTATAGGTGCTGGACCTGGCCAGCACTGGTCTCATGCTTGCCTCTGCAAAACTCACGGAGGCAGGTAACAGGGGCTTCCAACAGAAGGCACACCAGGAGGGATTGGCCACCTTGTGCCCAATGACCAGAACAGGTGCTGGACAGACAGCAGTCCCCTAACCTTCAACACGGTGGGGGTGGATTGTGCGCTAAGCACCCAGCAGGCCTAGCCTAGTCTAGTTCACATAAGGCCTGCAAGGCCCAGGAATTTACAGCCTGGGAGGAATTCTCTGGCCAGGCAGTGGGCCTGACAGAGGGTGGGGGCAGCAAGCCAGGAGCCACCAGCCTGCAGCCCTTCCTAGAGAGGATGGGCCTGTCCACTCAAAGGGCCATGGTGAGAAGGCAGGTGCAGCCAGGCCCTCAGGACACCTGTGCTTACCTTGGGGAGGCCAGGGAGAGCTAGCCCCAGAGGGCTCCAAAGCACTGCCCAGGGGCAACAGCTGGCCACATGCTGAGTCCTCTCCTAAGGTAGCGCACAGGCCCTGGTCATACAGAGTTACAGGCCCCCAAACTACACCCAGATCACTTCAGCCTCCACCTGGGGCAGAAGCAAGAAACTCCAGAATGAGGCCCAGAATTCCCATCCCCACAGTGAGCCTCAGCTAGGGGAAGACGGACAGGGATGTGCCCAGGAGGAGAGCACAGGTGACCTCCAGGAGTCAGGGGTACACATACTTCACACACACCCGGTCCAGGGCACACAAAGGGTTACCACGGGTCTAGGAGGACCTAATGGAACAGGTGGCTACTGCAGAAACCAAAGGGCACCATGCCTGGCAGGTGGCTGAGCATCCAAGCGCTGTCCCCTCAACAACAGCCACCAGATGAGCTCACAGGCAGGGTGGGAGCTGCTAGGGACACACCTGGCTTGCCAACCCTGTGCCCTCTCTGGAGCCATCTTCAGTCCTTCAGGTAGATGACGGCTCCCACAGCCTTGTCCCTGACACATCCAGACCACATAGCAGGCACTAATGTAACCAGACAGGGCCACTGCCCAGAGGAAGGAGACACACACAACCACCCACAGCAGATGGTGACCACCACAGCCTTCCCAGGAGCAACTCCTACCCCAAACCACCAGAAGCCAAAGCCCATGCTGCTGTGCCTACCCTGCACTTCCCTAGAACTCTGGGCCCCTACTGCAGCCACCTAGAGGGGCCCATCTCCTTCACAGATCCTGATCCTTAACCTGGAAGCCCCTAGCACCTCAGATGTGTAAAGAGGCAGCTCCTGGGCCAGAGGTCAGGCACGAGTTGAGTAGCCATCCCTGCAGAGACACTAGGCCCTGACCCCACATGGGGCATGGCCAGCTCAGAGAGCCCCTCGAGGACAGGCCTGGGGATCTGGAGGCTGAGGGCCCAGCTGCCCAGTCCTCTGGGATCCATGCTGTACACATGTTGCAGCCCCAGCTTGCAGGTGGGCTGCAAGGCACAAAGGGCATCCTGAACAAGCAGCCACATTCCCTGAGGGCCCCAGGCCACACAGCTCCCTTCCTGTCCACTCCTAGAGGCCCATCATTCACACTACGACCCTGGATACCTTGCGTAAATGTCTCAAGAGATAAATTCTCCGGGCGGGAAGAAGACAGAGCTGGGCTTCCTGCCACAGAGGAAGCTCCTCGACATTAACAGCTCCCAGGTGGCGGTCACTCAGTCATGGCTGCCCACTGCCCTTGAGGGACCACCTCTGCTGGGCCTGCCTGGTCCAGCCCTCACCTACCACCCTGACCACGGACCCTGGCATGACCACGGCAGCGGTCACCTCACCAGAAAGAGTGGTTGGAGGCAGGGCCGGATGTCAATGAGGTAGGGAGACAGTGGTACATCTATCCTCCACCCACACAGTTGTCACCTGGACAAGCCTGGGCCGCACAGCCCGCCTGTAGCACAGAACACAGCAGAGACAGCCAGCAGGGACCAGGGGCCAGGCACCAGGCCTGGCCAAACAATGGGCGGGTGGCCAGCAGTGAGGTGCCACAGCTCACAGCCCCCACCACCGCCAGCAAAGCCCACGCCAGGGCAGGGTAGGCCCGAGGCTGGAGGCCTCCGCTGGGGGAAAAACCAACATTTCCCCTAGCGAGGGCCACAGCACAGGGCAGGCAGGCTGAAAGGCAACTTTGAGAGCTGGAGCCCCATTGATTCTGCACAAAGGATAAAGGAGCCTGCGGTTGGCGTTTCCAGGCCCAGCCAAAGAGGACTTTGTTCACAGCTCCCCCACCCCCAAGGGGACAGTGATTTATTTTCCTTGCAGGAAGGCCCCAGACATGAACAGGGAGGCTGCCACACATCCCCACCTCAAAATGTCTGGTCCTAGCTCCTTCATGAACACCTCAGCCCCAGCCGCACACTGGCCAGCCACTGCCCAGGAGAGATGGAGAGAGGGAGGCCAGGGTCAGCACACAAACCAGTCCTCTACTGCCCACTGCGGAATCACATTGTTTCAGCCTCCACACATCACAGTGTCCATGGCTAGGCACAAACGAGACACCAACAGTCATGCAGCACAACAGTGAGCAAGGAAGTTAGGCAGAGAGGGCGGGAGAAGGACTGACCCCAGCCGTCCCAAGGGGCCTGGCGGCACACTATTCAGAAAGCCTGGCCACTTCCAAGCTGTCCGTGTGAAAGGTATCTATCTCACAGGGAGCCTTCTGAGTTCCCACTGCAAGAAACAACAGGGAGCAGAGAAAGCCAAGTCCTGTCTTTTGAAAACATAGACTAGGACAAACCCACCATGATTGTGAAACCTGGGGCAAAGGGGAACTCTTAAAATACGATCTGGATTTACAACAGCACCCATTTCAGAAACTGTGACAACCCAGGGAAATGTCTTTCAAAACAGCCAAACTGCATCTGGCTCTTGGTTCATGGAGGGTCCAGGCGGGACCTGCTCAACGGAGCAGGAACCACTCAAAACAGCCCTGTCCCTCCAGATCAGGATGGGCCTAGAGAGAGAAGTCAGCACAATTCAAGAAACATGACCCTGCACCTCCAAGGTGAACCACAGGAGCCCCCAACCCTCAGGAAAGGGCTTCTTCCACTCCCCACACAGGCCCAAGGTGGACAGGCCAAGGGCCACAGCCCCTCCAGGGCCCCTCAGCAAAGAGCAGGTCATGCCTGCCACACCATCCAGCAGTCACCTGTAGGCTGGCCAGAGACCATGGGAAGACAGGGGCCTCTAGTGTCTCTTGGCCAAATGGCCAGAGAATAGGCAGGTGTGGGTACGGGAAGTATTGGCAAATAAGAAGAATCAAAGTCAGATAGACTACTGGCCGTGGTGGGGCTCACTCGGCATGGCCTGCGTACCACAATGCCCAGGACACTGCCCAGCCTGGCCATACTGGACAGCCCCACACTCCAGCCAGCCAGGACTGGGCGGGTGGCAGAGGGGGGGTACGGTGGCATAGGTCCCACCTGGGCTGCCACCCGCCGCCCAACACCCGAACGTGGCCATATAAGGCCAGGTTGGGCTCAGTGCGCTGCTGGGCAGCGGGGGAGGACTGGTAGACACAGAGGGCGATCCTGAATGGTCAACACACCCTAGGACCCGCCTAACCCTGGGCAGTCAGCACTAGGCTTGCCTGGCCCTGGAACATGGTGGGCAGGAGTTCGCCAGCACATACTGCCCATCGGGCATGGATGTCCACTGCCAGGCTGCGTCCCAGGGCAAGGCTGTCCCCTGCAGATGGCCACACCTTGGCCCTGACACGCAAGGTCCTCAGGTATCAGCCTGAGACAACCCCTACCATGCAATGGTCTCTTGTGCTTGGGGACCCTCTAGCCTGGATGAGCAGCCCAGGTCCCAGGGCTATGTCAGAATGAGACCCAGACACCAGATGTTACCAGTGTCATCCATACCCCAGCCAGGCCATATGACGTGCCAACAGGTTCCCAAGGACCCATCTGAATCCACTATGGCTACAAACAGCCCAGTCCCCACAAACCTACAGGGTGATCAGCTGCCCTCCACACCCATACATGTGTGAAAATGTGTATGCAAGGCCACAGGTGTGTGCTGAGACCTGGGCCCAATAGGTGAGCTGAGAGTCCCAGAGAGTCAGCTAAGGATGTCCCATGGCCAAACTGGGAGTACCTTGGGGACGAACTGGGGCTCCCCGGGTGAGCTAAGGGTGACACAGAGTGAGCTGGGGGTACCCCATAGGTGAGCTCAGAGTGTAGGGAAGCAGGGCTGGGCAGGGGGAACTGGATCCAGGGGGAGTGAGGTAGATAAACTGAGAGCACTCAGTGGGCAAGCTAGAGGTGCAGGAGGCAGGCTGCGGAACCCCAGGGAGAGAGCCAGCGAGGCAGCAGCTCGCGCCAGGCGGGTACTGTGGCAGGGGTCAGGGCTGGCGGGGAGGGGCGGCGCCAGCACTCACCTCGCGCGGCGGCGGCCGGCGGGAGCGCCCCCAGCAGCAGCGGCGGCAGCAGCAGCACCAACGCGGGGCTCGGCGACATCTCGCGGCCGCGGTCGGGGTCCGGGCCCCGGGTGCCGCGCTGCGGGCGGGAGCGGCTGGCGATCAAAGGCAAACAAAGGATTCGCGCTAATTACCGCGCCCCGCGCCCCCGCGCGTCTGGGTCCCGGCCCTGCCCTCAGGACACACCGCGCGGCAAGCAGATAATCGCCTGCGCCATTAGCGAACAAATTTGCGCCGGGGCCCACGTGAGGTGGCCGGGCGGGCGGGGCCGGCCCGGCGGGAGGCGGCGGCGACCTGAGCCAGGGCCCCTGCCGCCGCCCCTCGGATCCCTCGCGCGGCGGAGCTCACCTCGGCGGGAGGCGGGTCACGGTCGGGCCCGCAGGCAGCTAGTCGCCGTCATCGCCGCCTGGGGCGCCGCATCCCGCCCCCTGGGCCCCCGGGCCCGGCCTGGGGCGGGGCGGCGCTACCTGGGCGCGGGCGGTGGGGCGCGGGCGGCGGCGGGCGGGGCGCGGCGGGCGCGGGCGGCGGGGCGAGGGGCCCGGGGCGCCGCGCCGCGAGGCGTCCTACCCTGCCGGGCTTTGTCAACTCTCCCGGAGCCAGCGCGGAGCCCGCCGCGCGCTCCGCCCCGCACAACTTCCGGCCAATCGCCGCACGCCGGCCCGCCCTCAGCTCCGCCCCACCCCGCAACTTCGCTCCAATCGGCACGCGCGCCAGCCAAGGCCCGGCTTAACCCTAGCCGTGCGGCGGCCACTAGAGCTGAGGGGCGGTGCCCCAGGGGTGTCCCGCCTCCAGCTTCCCGTTCTACCGCGCCCCCAAGCCCCCCGCCCGCGCAGACAAGCGCAGACTAGCAGGTTTGGACTGTTCCTAGGGCGCCGACCCCTAGAGCTGCCTTCCCTACTCGGTCCCCAGCCCAGGTCACCCCCTGGCGCTCGGGGAGCCCAGAGCGGCTCCCTGCTGATCCGAGCCCTCACCTGGCGTCTTTCTGAGGCTCCTGCGGTGACGGTGACCGCAGGGACATGGCACACAGTAAGGCAGAACGCGACCTTCGTCCCCTGCGCGGCGGGCAGACGTCTCCCTAGCCCGGGATCCTGAAGGGCAGGTGCGCCCCCAACGTGGCCGCCCGGGGTGCCTGAGCCTGTCCCCACCCGGCCCCAACATCCCGGCCCAAGACTGCGTCGACCCGGCCTGCAACACCCTCTGCTGCACCGCGACCGCCGAGTCTGACCCAGGCCACAGGGCCCCTCTGGAACCGCCGCTCCCTCCTCCAGGCCGCGTCGAGGACGAGAGCGGCGAGACCACTGATCCGCGCCGGGCACGGCATAAGCGGGTCCTGAGTCACCTGGGGACGCGGCCATCCGGGGGTCATCGACACGGTGCCCAAACTTCACGAAGGGGACACCACCCCGATGTGAAACGCTGGGCAGGTGTGCGGCGCCCAGGCCAGATGCGCGCCAAGATGGTTGTGGGTGTTCGGGTCCGAAAAGGGAGGTAGACGGAGTGAAATGTGGTCCAGGACAGGTGCCGCCACCCCAAGTGGCACGGATGCCACCCACCCTGGCCGGGACCCTGCCACTCCCTTCCAGTCCTAGTGCGCGGCTGCCCCCTGGCGGCGGCTCTCGAGCTGCCCGACCCTGCCCCACCCCGCCACGTCCCTCCTAAACCCGCCGGCCTCCAAGCCGGAAGCCGCACGCAGCTGACCCCCCCGACCGACTCGCGGCCCCGCCGCCCCTCAGAAGCGGTCCAGAGCGCGGACGACAGCAGCAGGAGCGACCCCTGTACTGTTAAAGGTCAAGTCCAGAGCGGCAGTTCCGGGCCACGGGCCCGGCCTATATTCAGCCTCGTGACCTCGCCACAGGGTTGACACGGGTTGCCTCGTGCAGGTAAACCCACAGGACCTCCTGCCCTTTTTGCGACCTTCATCCGGCACGGCTGCCTGCCCGGTTTGCACCAGCCCCTCCCTCCTCCTCTCCAGGCTGCAGGTGGCACTGAGCAGACGTTGGAGGGGGCTTCTTGCAGGTGCAGATATCCCAAACAGCGGGGCATCGAACCGAGAGGCAGGGACCTGATTCACACTCAGAGACAAATACAAAAAATGACTAGTGACAAATATATGTGAAACTCATGTCGTGGGTGTCCACACCTAGGATGGTGACTCTGCGACTGTCCTGCTTTACCACCAGATGTGAGGGCCAGGTGGAATGCAGGTGCAGGAGCACAGAGGGACACCCCAAGGTTTCAGTGAGAGAGAAGAAAACATCCAAGTGGGAGACAGGCACCCTGAGAGGACCACAGCCACCTGGGACCAGGCAGGTACCATATCCACAGCTGGAGCAGGAGCCTCGAGATTGAGGGAGTACAGAGTAGGAGGTGGGAGGGAAGGATCACCTTGGAACAGGCAGCTCTGCTCCTACTTAAGGAAGGGTCATAGAGCTGCTAAGTAACTCAGACACCTCCCAGACACAAGCAGGAGTGTTCCCAGGAATACAGGGAGAAACCATCGAACTTCCAGTCTGTTCAAACCAGCAGGTGTGAGAAGCAGGTGGGGATGGGGGCAGGTGTCAGTCTTGGAGTGACCCAGCAGGGACCCAAGCAGAGCTAGCGGGTGAGGGCAGCATTCATACAGTCCTTTGCTGTGTCCACATCCAGGATGCAGATGCTGCCCAGAGACAAGGGGAAGCTAAAGCCACAGCCCAACAGCTAGAGGTGAAGACTGAGTGCCTGAGAGGAGAAATCAGATTGAGAGTAATGAAAAACTGCAAAAGCAAGGATTGCTGATCTGGACTGAGACAGATCTGTCCAAAATGAAGCGGAGAGAAATAGGCTGTGACGTGGCAGGCTGAGAAATGCTAGGAAAATTGGAATACCCACAGGAGAGGAGAGTGATGTAGAGAATGAAAAAGAAAGAGTCCAGCTTTCTCCATAGCTAATGAAAACAGACTCACAGCTGCAAAAGGCTCAAAAATATCTAAGCACAAAATAAGAGCAGGGCATGGTGGTACACACCAGTAATCCCAGCACTCTGGAGGCTGAGGCAGGAGGATGCTGCAAGTTTGAGGTCAGCTGGGCTACAAAATGTGTTCAAGACCAGCCTGAACTGCATAGAAAAATCCTGTCTCAAAAAGACAAGAAGAAGAGGAGGAGGAGGAAGAAACAACGAAAGAAAGATGAAGTAACCAACAGGAGCACCCAATGTCAGCATGCATTTCTGTAGAGCAGCTTCACAGCAGCCCAGAAAAGGCAGCCTGTTGTGCCACATGGCAAAGATGACACTCCGTGGGCATCACCCTGGAGATACGGCAGCGAGAAGACAGTTGGCAGTTCCTCCGTACCATAAGGAAACCCATTAAGCTGGTTTCAATGCCAGTAAAAATACCTTTTAAAAACAAAGGCAAAGCTGGGAGTTTTTCAGATTCAAAAAGCTGAAGAATTCATCACTTGTGTGTGCTAAAAAAAAATTTTAAGGGATGTCCTTCAAGCAAATGGACAGTAACCACACAAACATATGGGAACCTGAATCCCCTCAAAGACTTGAAGAGCACTGGAGACAGAGATAGTGTGAGGAACCAAAAAAGTGTCCCCTTTATTGTTTAAATCTCCCTAAGAAACAAGCACTTCGGTCTAAATAGCAACACTTCATTGAGGAGCATATGCTGTGAGAATGTAAAGTATGTACCAATGCATAGGCCAGGAGGGAGGACAGTGCTGGGACCCGCATCGTGTGTGCAACGGCTGACAGCCCCTGGAGCTAGACTGCAAGAGTGAGCAGCGCTCAGGGTGAAGCTGTGCTGTGGTGCACACTTCAGTCCCAGCTGCTTGGGGGCTGAGGCAGGAAGACTGATTTATCCAGAGTTGAAGGCCTGTCTGGACAACAGCAAAACTCGATCTTTTAAAAAAGTTAAGTATAAACCCTAAAGCAACTATTACGATAACAAAAAATTGAGGGGAATAACAAAAAAACTTCAGCAAATGCAGCAACAAAGGAATCAAGAGATTTTTAAAAATTAACCCAAAAGTCTGCAAAAGTCTGAACAAAATCTAAGCACAAACAACAAGAACAGGGCATAGTGGTACATACCTGTAATCCCAGCACTCGGGAGGCTGAAGCAGAAAAAGGGGAAAAGAACAAATGAGACAAAAAGGGACAGAGAGCAAGACGGCTGATTCCAATCCAACCATGTCCAGAAAAGTCACATAAATATGCTAAATGCCTGGACTAAAGGCAAACATCAGATTGGGTATATTCTGCCTAGAAAAACACACTTTAGATATCAAGACACAAATTTTTTTTGCATGAATGTCTTTAACTTTATTTTCCAAGTCCATTTTGTTTCAAAGAGAAAAAGAAAGAAGAAAAAACCTCACAAATGTGTTAAAAGCAGAAGGGCAGGAGACCGTCACCATACCAACCCTAATCTGAAGAAACTTGGACCAGCCAAAGTAAATAGCAGAGCAAAGAATATTATCAGAGATCACAGGATCATTTAACAGTAATAAACTGGTGAAAGTGTCAAAATGACATAGAAATCCTGAATACACATGCACCTAATAACAGATAAGACCCCTGATGCCAAAACTGACAGGCCTGCACAGAGAAAATGAGTCCTGGGTCACACTCGGAGACCCCAGCAGTGCTGCCTCTGTAGGTGGTTGGTCATCTGCAACACAGGGGACTTGGACAATGCTTTCAACTCCCTTGGCTTGATTAATATTCAGGACAACTTACCATTTCCTGAACAAAAGTCTCCATGTATTTAAAAGGAGTTAGATGGTTCAAAGCATGTTCCTTGATCCCAGTGGAATTGTATCAGATATCCAGCGACCAGTAGTGCGGCGATGCATGGCTATAATCCCAGATACTGTATTTGGAAGCTAAGGAAGGAAAGATCAAAAATTTGAGGCCAGATTGGGTAGTGTCTGTCCAGTGAGGCAGGATCTGTCTCCAAATGAAAATTGAAAGCAAAGGGCTGTAGCTGAAGCTTAGTGATGGAGCACTTGCCAAATTCAAATGAGGCTCTGAGTTTGATCCTCAGCACTGCAAAAAACATTTTTTTTGAACTGAATGGAAATGAAAGGACAACATACTAAAAACTGTGAA